CGGGAAAAAAAAGAAAAAAAAAAAAGATAAGCCCAATAAATAAGGACACCTGTCTATTAGTGCTTGTTACATGACATCTTTCACCAATTTGTGAAATATGGTTATTTCCACTGATTAAAAAATTGTACAAAGCTTCCTCCGAAAAAAATTGTACAAAAACCTTTAAATAGAAAGTTCATACAATGGGTGAAACCAAAAAACTGAAAAATAACTAAAATTCAATACACATGACACTATTTAAACTAAACATAATTAAACCATAACTATTTCTAACTGCTTAATACTTATTCAGATAACAGTTTTGAGTTCCATTGAGTTGGTGGCAGTCTGAAAAGTAAGAAAAATGTACAATTTGGAGGGCCTCCCCTGGGTTTGTGGAGGGGAAGTCAACATATTGCTTTGTAAATTCTTCAACTTTTTTTTAGAATCATATCCAAGATCGATTTTCCAGTGTTTCCACTTTACGTTGTCAGAAGTGCTGTTATCATATGTTAGGATCTACATTCACCATCCGATTAGCCTTTTATCATCTAGGACTATCATTCTCAATATACAATTTTTAATATTGAACAACTTTGTTCCAATATACAATTTTTAATATTGAACAATTTTATTCCTTTTCATTATCTTAATGAGAAGTTTGTATCGGGTTAAAAAAAATATATACAATTTTTAGTAACACGAAAACGTACTTCAATAGGCATATTTCAACAAACGGTGGGGAAGGCAAATATCTCAATATTTGCTTTTTTCTCCGCACCTTGATCCATGGTTTATTCTTGTACTGTTTACTCTGTTAGATAGTAAACTTATACTTCCTGTAAAAGTCTGCCACCAGAATCAAAATGTGTTGAAGACAATCAACTAGCCGGTCCAGATGATCCCGAGACTTATGAGGAAGTTCACGAGGATGGTTCCAATCAGGAGGAAGTTCCTATCCCTGGATTTCATCTAGCAAATTTCTTCAGAGGACGGTTCTTATATTCCAGGATATGGGGTTTTCTTAAGAGTGCATCAGAAGGCAGGAATCGGCCTTCTGGCTTCGGCATTACTTGACAATTGAACTTAGAGATGGACATGGAATAATACAGACTGCAAGGTAACTTAGCCTACCCATATGAAGTTATGAAACAACTTGTGCTATTCTCTGTTTTTTGCCACTAACTAAGAACAGGGCCTCGCCATTTTCTTAAACTAGGAGGTGCAGGGATTGAAACTCTAGGATTTGATTTATGGACATGACAACTTAGATTCTCTAAGCCTGGAAGAAGAATGCAAGGAGAGGGAAGATTGGCTCTGAATGTAAATATCAGCCTTGATTTGTTGTTGGATGATTCTGTAAAAAGTTGTTTTTCTTCCCTTCAAATTCACTTCTCTCTTTCCATCTTCTGTGTTAGCACTGAACTTAGGAAAATACTCTTCTTAAATATGGATAGGAAGTAAGTAAGTTTAAGGGCTTTGCGAGTCTGTTTTCAAAATAACTTTTTTGCTCTTAGAACAATGAATCTTTGTTTTGCGAACTTCTTTTCCCCAGTTCTTTTATTGAACTTACTATTTTTTGGTCGATGAATTAGGTTCAAATTAACTATATATGTATCTTCTTAATTGAAAATTTTGACATTATTGTGCAGTTTTTTTATACAATGTGTGGGGATCAAGATTAGAACTTCGATTTTTTGATCGATGATATATAACTTAACCAATTGAGAACTATATTTCAATTGACTACATATGTATTCTTATTAGTTTGGAAACTTCAACATTATAGGATGAAAGCTGAAGTGATATGTGAAAAACGTGCTCTCAAGATATATTGAAAAATTACATTATAGACTCCTACTCATTCTAAACTTTAAGCATACTAAAATATGAAGTTTATTATGGCATGAAGAAGTTATTACAAAGCCCATATTAACATTTTTAATTTATGGATTATGAATGGTAAAAATTTACAAGCATAGAGCATGCATCAATTGAAGCTATATAATAGTCTATAGTATTGGACCATGTAAAGAAATTATAGTATTTATAGGCGTGTTACTTTTCTCGTGGGATGGACATAATCCCTCGTTTAAGAGTGTCGCACACAATGGTGGAGGATAATTTTTTCAATGAGGGACGAGGATGTTCCCTACCCCATATATATATAATCGACATTTAAATATTTGTATGTTGAATTTATTAAATATTGTTGTGGTATTTATGTTTCAAGACTTATTTGTATTGATAACTTAAATTACAAAATTTAAATTTTAGGATTTGTTTTTCTTATATATATAAACTAAGAGACTATTTTTTCACCATCAATTATGAGACATTTTCATTTAATTTAAGATTTTTCTAGTTTAAATGAAAAATCATAATCCCATTGAGAATTAACATTTAACACATAATTTTAAAAAAGTAGGGGTTCACAAGTTGGGTTGTCGAGTGTTATATATATATATATATATATATATATATATATATATATATAATTATCATGACTTCGATCAGAGTTAGGATTAAAATTAAATGGACGACTGAGATTAAAATATAGAATGGAAAAAGATAATATGAAAACTTTAAATAAAAGGTTAGGGTTAAAACTAAACGAATGAATGGTTGACATTGGAGGTAAAAAATATTAAAATTATATATATAATTAAAAAATACACATATATGTATAAATTCGAGTTGGGTTGAGTTGACCCGATTTTTAAAAGTTGAACACGATACTCAACCCAATCCGATCAGGTTGGAAAAATCACAACTCAACCCGACCCGATGCTTCATGTTACAGTTTGGGTTGAATTCGTTGGATTGTCGAATTTTTTGAACACCCCTAAAAAAGGAAATAGGAAATAATTTTCCATGTGAATGAAATAGGGGGTGAGACAACTACGTCCCGACAATACTCCAAATTACACACTAATTTGGTCGAATAGTACATTTAATGGACTCATGCATCACTTTAAGTTAACCCTAACTTAGCTAATAAAACAATGAACATGTTACTAATGCATCACTTTAACTGGTTCAAATATTTCAACGTCTAAAAAGTGTCATAAATTTAAATATCTACCAATATTTATAATATAATATTTTTAGGAACTTGATGATTCACAATCCAAATAAATTTATATGTATACACGTTCATTTATTTATTTCTAAGTTAAAAATTTTAAAAATATATATGACTTAATGGGATTAAGATTGCTTCCACCGTTCAACTTCAAACATTTAGCTCGTCTCCATATAAGTTGTTTGTATTAGAAAAAAAATTAAGATTTTAAATAAAATAAAATTGAATAGTCATATAACTATTATTACGCGCGTGAAGCTCTCGTTTTATCTGCCGTTTGATTATTCAATTTTCCAAAATGTGTCTATTCACACCCACTTCAGCTCTATATAAACCCTTCAGAATGCCAATTGACGCTCCTCTTGGTGGAATGTATTAGAAAAAGGGGGAAACGGAGACCAGAAGAAACCTAACCCCAAAGAAACCAAAATCTTTCTCTCTGTTCTTCTTCTTCTTCTTCTTCCTGCCCAAGCAAACTTCCGTCCCGAACCCTAACCCTAACGCTACTCTTTTTTTTTTTTCTTTTCTCTGTGTTCTGGATTTCAATCGGATTGAATCGGCGTTTGCTCCGGGGACGAAGGCGATTTTAGGAATTAGAATCTGCGACCGACAAGCGGGAGACGATGTCTGCTGTGGTGTGCGGAACCAAGAGATCCTTCTTTGAAGAACTCCCGCCTTCGCCTCCCATAGCAAAGCGGCTCCGCTGCTCCACTTCTACTTCGCCGATTAGGTTCGCTGCGCCGTCTCTTATTGATCAGCTTCACGATTTGTTTCCGCACATGGATCATCAGGTTTCATTCTTCTTCTTCTTCTTCTTCTTCTTTGTGGGTTTAGTTATAGTTTTGTTTGAATTGGAGAAACAAACACTCGTACTCCGTTTGAAGACGAGGATGCTGGTTGTTTTTGCTTTCCTTTTGTACGTTTAGTTCGTGCTTTTTTAGTCTAGCAGGAAGGATATGTAGTATCTAATATGATAATTCTTGTTAGGATTAGAACCTGATTCTCTATGGAATTTTCTGATATAATAGATCCTAGGGAGATAGAATTACTATATTCCTAATTGTTATATACGCCTCTGGATTGTGAATTATCAACTTATTTGACTTTGTTGCGGCATGAAATTGGAGTGGTCCTATTCGGTTTTAATGTGCAATGCATCTCTTTCGGTGTCTTGTTTGATAACTGCTGCATGTATGCTATAATTAACGTTGCAAGTTTGTTTCCCCCGGTTTTCTGGATCATGCTTTGATTTTGCCTTTCAGCTTCTTGCGAGAGCCCTTGAAGAATGTGGCAACGACTTGGATGCTGCCATCAAATGCTTGAGTGACCTCTGTTTGGGATCTGCTGCTGAGAATCCGGGTGCTACTGCTGAACCAGAGACAAATTTGGATCAAGGTATCATGAAATTCTAAATGACAAAGGAGATGCTTCATATGTATTTTCCTTGTTTCTGTTCGTTCACTCATGATCTTAGCTATATCATGATGACGAATTCATTACATTAATGAATTCGTGGAACTAAATTCCTCCTTCAAGGAAAGGAAGGTTTAATTTTGTTCACGAGATTCGAGAAAATAGTTCTCAATTAGAATGTGATGCTTATTTCATGGAAGATATCCAATGGGTCCCCCTAAATTGCTGTCACTAGTTTGGATCACTAATCATACCCGTGCCTCGTCCATGTTAAAGAAGGTTTAAATTTTGATTAAAAAACGAGAATTAGAGTTCTCATTTGAAGTACTATGTATTCATTCGCTTAGAGTACAATGTATTGTTTTTTCATGGAAGATACTCAATGGTTCCCTACCTACCTTGCTGTTTGTAGTTTGGTTTCATAAGCATTACAGAATTGGCTGGTACATTTACACAAACAGTTGGAAAGAAACTTTAAATTAAAATTGTTGGAGATTTAGTTCTGCAAGGGATTATAATCTTCTTTAATCTTCTATTGTTGATGCTGTATTGCCCGACCATTTTGGAATATGTTTCTTTCAAGTCCGGCATCTATTTCTATGCCTTTCAGCATGCATTTAATGTAGAACTTTCATATGAATGTTGAACTCTGCATCATGCGATTTTCTGTGAAGGCCACTGTTCTCAACCTTTTGTTATCCTTGAACTTGCATTATTTTTTTCTTTTGTAAAGTTCAATAATTCAACATATGTTTAAAAAAATTGACAGGTTCATTTGTCAACGATGGGGAGGCTGCTGCTTCTGAGAATTTGTCAGCACCAAGCAGTGTTTCTCTTGATGGTAGAGAATGGGTTGACTTGTTTGTAAGGGAAATGATGAGCGCTACCAGTGTAGATGATGCTAGGACCCGTGCAGCAAGAGCTTTAGAAGCTTTAGAAAACTCAATTAGTGCACGTGCTGGTGCTGATGCGGTACAAAATTTCCACAAGGTACTTCCATTTGAATGTTTTATGGTTCCAATAAATTTCCATGTCCTTGGTGGAAAATTTGGTATACTAGTAGGTTTTTGGAGTATTCGGGAGCAGTTAGAATTTGTGGCCTTACTCTCTTGTCAAAGATGTTGCTATAAAAATATCAAGGTAGGCATATAAACTTTTGACGTTTTCACTGTTATTCAGGAAAATATACAACTGAAGGAACAAATTGAAGTACTGATACGAGAAAATACTATTCTTAAGCGAGCAGTTTCCATACAACATGAACGTCAGAAGGAGTTCGACGACAAGAACCTAGAGTTGCAGCACCTTAAACAGTTGGTATCTCAATATCAGGAGCAGCTGAGAACGCTAGAGGTCAGAATAAATTTTATAACTATTCTAATTATCTTCCCCAGTATTAATGGACCTGTTTGAAGTTCTTAGATACATCTTCATTTTGATATTACATTTCTCACCGGTGGAAAAAAAACTTGTCACTTTGTTACAGATAAACAACTATGCATTGACAATGCATTTGAAGCAGGCTCAGCAAAGCAGCTCGATTCCAGGGCGCTTCCATCCCGATGTGTTCTAACGACGAGGAATTTAAAGATCTAAATTATTGGTTGCAGGAAGATACTAGGAGAGCGTGAGTGAGAGGAGGAAAGGGAGAGCCAGGGTCTCAGTTTCGTATGAATACAGGTACCGCTTTAATCAGTGTGTTTGTTTCTGTAGTTTGGGTTTGGTCATATTGCCAACCTTGGATGGTGACTAAGACCACAGCTCCGTTGTTGAACTTTCTATTGTTTCCCCATAGCTTTCAATAAAAGTTTTTGTTCAAATTTGAAGATTTTGATGGTTTCATTATTCTCTTTTGTTTTTTTTCCTAAGAAGACCTTTTTGCGGATCAATTTCTGTCTGAAGTGGGACGACGGCCATGGTCTTTTGTCCTAGTTTTCTTCTGGCCATTGATTTTTGCGCTGCATATTGCACAGCTCGAGGCCTATCGCGCGGCCTTGTGCCATTTTTTAATTAGTTTTTGATATCTGTAATTTAGTTCATCTTCATTACTTTAAATGGTTTCTGGTCTGATGAAAAGACAAAATTATTAGTATTCTTTTTAGGCTAAATTAATGTATCTTTCGACATTTCATAAAAATTTCAAAAATATCTCAAACAACTATTCATTTAAATACAAAAAAAAAACTAATGTCCCCATCGTTTATTCTTTTTTAATTTTGTACAATAACAACGGGAAAAGCAAAGTTGTCCCATTAAGCAATGTCTTTAGTTTGGTGCAACGGCTATACGTTGATAACAATGAGAGAGTGGGAATTTAAATCTCTATTTTTTCTAAATGTCTTTACTAGTTCTTATGCTAGGTTGACATTCTCATGTACTAGTTATTTCATATTTTCATAACATGTGAGGGTGAAACTATAGTCATCTAAGAGAGTAGAGATTTTTCTAATATTGCATTCCAAAAAAAGAACCATGAAAAACTACACTATTTTAAAAATTAGTCTTGAAAATTATATTTAAATAATTAATTTTTAATACAATATTTAGAAAAGTTCCCTAATATGGTATAACATACGGATAAAATTACCATTTATTTCAAAATTAAAAATTTCCTTCTTCATTGTACTAAAAAAAAACATTAGATTTTACCACTTAGAAGGTAAGCCGATGCCACATATTCATTATTATCAACCGTGCTTTAGCAATACTAAAAGGTACATGAAACAAACAATATTAAAAAAAATGTTTTTCATTTTTCATTTCGCATGTTGTATTAAAAAAAAACATGCTTTAACAAAAATATTAATCTATTAAATATTTTGGATCGACATTTTATAAAATGATATTGTCGTCTTAGAGTACATTGAAATTATTCGTCCTAGATTAAATTGAAACCTAACCACTAAGATAAGTATAGTTTCATTAATGAATGCATAACCTAACTTTTTTTTTCTTTTTTTTTTTAGTACATAACTTAACTTCCATTAATCTCTTGTTGAAATTTTAAAAAAAAAACATAGACTCAATCATAATGTAAAAATTTACTTAAGAGTTTTTTAAAATTTACATAGTGTAGGTTAGTTTTAGAAAATCATATTACAAAGAATAATATTTCATGTTGGCCACTACTCTGATTTAGTAAGTATTTACTTCTTTTTTTCTTTTAAGGACTTTACAGTGGGTACAAACTTCATATGTAAAAAAAAAAAAAAAAAATTAATGAGGCCCAACATCTTCTAGTCAGAATCAAGAGTAGAGATTGGTGGCATAGACTGTGGAAATTGAAGATATCAACAAAAATGAAATTGTTTATTTGGAGAGCTTATAATTTTATAATGAATGCTTACCAAGTAGAAGGAACCTTGGTGCAGCTAATGAAAATTGTTGGCACCCTCCTCCGCGGAGGCAATTTTCGTCAAACTTAACATTTATTTGGCCCTCTCAATTCTCAATTGCAAGAAGCAAGAAGGGAGATTATCCCACTTGTAGCCCACGCGGCAGTTTACATTCTTTAGTAAATTACGTTTTCTACCCTGAAAAGATAAATGTTTCTTTTTTTCTCACTGTACTTGTAAAAAACAGAGTGATGTGTCTAGTGTCCAATCAATAGAGAAATATTGTATATATTGTCAAGATTTTTTTTCTCTTTGAAAGAAAAGAAACACTGCATTAAAAAGAATAGGACCACTAAGGGTTACCACCTTGTTTTCGAAAGAGATCGGGGTACAGGTTTCAACAACAGCAGATCTAAGCTCTGGACATTCTTAGAAATTTGTCAAAGGGTAGAGAAAAGATAAAAAATGACACACTTGACTAATAAAATAGCTTGAACAAATCTTGTCCCACTAAACACCTTCTTCAAAGTCATAACATCTTCAACCTCATTCAATGATGTCGGGGGAAGACTCCTCGATTAATTGAGGTATCTTGTCAATTATGACACCCCTATTCACAATTGGAAGAGAAATAATTGTCTCCAAAGTTGCTTTATTCTCCACCATGACAACTAATGAAGCATTAGGCAAATTCTACAAATCACGCTGGTCACGGATCTCAACACAATTGAGATTGATAGCCTCCCCAGATTCCAAAACGATGATCGAGTCGATTGCTGTCGCACCTCCACGATCGCCCACCTTCTACTCTCTTTTCCTTGCCCCTAGAGCATGGAAGTTATCTGAACCAAGATGCAGCATATATGAAGAGTCATCTCAAGAGATCACAGGCAGGTGTCTTATCCAATTATATGCTTGATAACTCTTCAAAATGTCCAGAATCGGAGTCACATACCATACATAAATAGTGTTGTCTTTGATTTTRTCATCTTCAACAACACTATCAGCATCTGACGGGGAGATCCTCGACACCCGACCATCGTCTTCCATCACATAAACCAATGAGGAAGAAGAATCATCTCTGGAAATCGCCTCATCATAGATGAACTGGAACAAAACAAAGAGAAACATCATTTGAAAAAACTAGATTGAAAGAAAACGCTCATCCCTAGGCTACTGGCCGCCCCTCCCACTTTTGGCTCTAACTCCTCTAAAAATACATAAAGGAGAGAAAACATATTCTAGCTTGATGGTAAATAAAAATGAAGATTTTTTTTAATAATAACAATTTGAAGATATAGGGGATCGAACTTGAAGAAGTACATACCAATTATCACCGCTCATGTTCATAAAAATGAAGATTTGAACCTCGCTGGAAGAAAGAATTAAAATTTTATGTTGTTTGAGACTTTGAGATTTAGAAAATAGGTACTAAAAGTCTAAAAGATATTTTTTAAAAAAAAGAAAGAGGAGAAAAAAGAAGACCTAAAATCTCCCATTGGACAGCATAAACAAAATTAAAGAATTAAAACAGTGGCATTACGTGTAATAACAAAAATCACACCACATCTCTCGAGTTTCGATCCCCTTCGTCTGCTCTTCTGCTCCTCCTGCCCTCCACTGTCTCGGAAGCGAGCCTAAACTTCCAGTTCCCACCAAAACGATGAACAATCGCACCCATTTCTCCTCAATTTAGCATTCTCAGCAAACCCATTTCCTTTAATGGCCGCTGCATCTCTTTCCCTCCTTCCTTCTCCCCTCACCTTCCCCCCCTCCGACCGTTTCTCCGCTTCTTCTTCTTCCGCTTCCTCTTCTTCCTTCTTCTCCGCCGGAACCCACCTCAGGTTCAACAACAACTTCCTCTCTGCGCATTCTTCCCCTTCTTCTTCCAATCCCCAATTTAATAAACGGGTCTTGCCAAGACGGGGCCTGCGATTCGTTGTTAGAGCTTCTGGGGACTATTATGCCACTCTCGGGATCCCCAAGTCTGCCAATAGCAAGGAAATTAAGGCCGCTTATCGGAGATTGGCACGTCAGGTACTGAATTTTGTCAGGCTCTTTTTTTCTTTATCTAATTTGATTATCTTGATCAAGCGGGAGGGTAGTTGCCAAGAATTTCATCTCAAGGGAAATGAATTTCTGGGAAAATGTGTTTCTGTAAGTTTGAGCTCTCGATGCCATCTTTGGAGTTGGACTACTTCGTCTACTATTACGTCTAATAGCGATTAATGATCCTAATGCTTCATGAGAATATGGGTTGTGGAGAATATACAAATTGGGGTGGATTTCTTTGTGAATCTTTGGCGTCATTGCCCTACCCATATATATGGACGATCGCTTTGTGGTTCCCTGCTTCTTAGTATTGTTTCTTTTAACCGTGGGCAGGAATAGCTTTCTTGAACTGAGTTCAAAGTTCCAGGAAAAAAAGTAACGGCTTACAAAAAAAATTAGTATATTTGTAGTGTTATAAATAATGAGATAATGAAAATTTAACGAAATGAGGGCTTGTTGAAAAAAATAAATAAATAAAGCTTCAACGTAATCACCTTATAGAGGGCACCTTGCCTCTGGTGAGGCGAGGCACCTTCATCAAGCCTTGTGCATTGGTGCACTTTTCATAACAATGCTTCCTTATATTCATCATTTTAGGTTTAAATTAAACAGTTAACATATTTTTAAAAACTTTTCCAACTCGAGAAGTAACCGTTCACTTATTATCAGCCAAAAGTTTTGTTGTTTGGTTACTTGTTCCCTTATTTTGACTGAAAATAAGAAACCAATGACAATTATATTTGTGCACATTCCTCTTATTTGGTGCTTAACAACTAAATTTTTAGATAAGCTCAATATCAAGGGAATTTGTGAATCCTATAACTCTGTTATTAATAGTTTGTTCTTAATAAGGTTGCTTGCCATCTTGACTTTTTTTTTCTATTTCTTTTTTTAATTATCTCTCTCTTCTCTCAAGTATCACCCTGATGTCAACAAAGAACCAGGAGCAACTGAGAAATTTAAAGAGATCAGTGCTGCTTATGAGGTATGGTTGAGGAAAAAAGTTAATCATATTGCATGTGGTGCACGTTCTCAGAAATTTCATTTCAAGTTACAAGTATATCTGAAATGTTTAATCTTCCAGTCTTCTTTTTTAATATTTAAATCTATGGAATGTTTTTTAACTATCTGTGTTTACTGTCTCCTCCAAATTGATTGTTTCTGAAAGTTGGTTTCTTCACTTGGAGCACTCTATCCTTCCATATTTTCATACTTATCATATTGTCCTTTGAATCTCAAGTACCATGCTGTCAGGTTCTTTCAGATGATAAGAAGCGGGCTTTGTATGACCAATATGGTGAAGCTGGAATTAAGAGTACAGTAGGGGGATCAAGTGCTTATACGGTATTGGTTGATATTTATCTTCTCTAATTCCTTAGGGAAATAAAGCTTCCTGCTTGATGCACTTTTGCATCAAGAAATATTGGGGCTTATATAATATATTATTGTTGCAGACTAATCCATTTGATTTATTTGAGACGTTCTTTGGCCCAAGCATGGGAGGATTTGGTGGTATGGATCCAAATGCGTTCCGCACACGGCGTAGTAGTACTGTTACTAAGGGTGAAGACATTCGGTGAGTCAGTGTGACAAATGCTTGAAACATACAAGGCATTGTTTTATTTACTTGGGAAAATTTTACAATGCATGATATAACCTGAATTCCCTTCTCTCCTACCACTTCCTACCTCCATAAGAATCAGGAAGTGACCTATTAATTTTTAAAAATTTTCAGAAACTCATTCTTAATTATCTTTGGTACTTGCTGGATTGATTTGTCACTTGATCTCCCTCTTTCTTAAATTTATGTAGTAAGTTGAATGATATTTTGATGCTAAGTGCTAACATAGATTTGAGGTAAATGCCTATATAAAAAAGGTCGGGCATGGCAAGCCACGCTAACCTGTGCTCTTGCCAAATTGGGTAGTTGCCATGGTTGCCAATTTGTCATATTTGCATGTGATTGGCTTTTGCTCATAAAAAGAGTGTATGAAGCAAATGCGTTTTGACGGCTTAAAGTTTTCTTATTATCTGGCATAATACAGAGGGACATTTAAGAAAATATACATGGAAAAAAGCCATCAAACCATCTTCTTCCTCTCTTCCTTAAAATTCTGCTCCAAAGTTGAAACTTGAAACAGGGAACTTCTTTTACATTGACAGTATCAGACTTGATTTTAGTATATTGTAATTTCTCTATTGCCAAGCGAACAATTCTAGCATGGTTTTTTGTTGTCATAATTTTCCAACATCCACTAAATTTTTTTGGGAAAGAAATAGTCATTCATAATAATGAATTATAACAAATTGGTGACTAGAATAACATCTACTTCAATTGGTTACATGTTTCTTGATTCTGTCTTCAATCAGTAGGAAATTATTCCTTTATAATTCAATAAACTGTTTTAACCTATAAAATTGACTATTAAATGACTGCTCAATATTTTGAGTCCAGTTATGACATCAATTTAGGATATTCCGAAGCCATATTTGGATCGGAGAAAGAATTTGAGCTCTCCCATCTGGAAACGTGTGAAGTCTGCTCAGGTACTGGATCTAAGGTAGGCTCCAAAATGAGGATATGCTCAACATGTGGGGGGAGAGGTCAAGTTATGAGAACCGAGCAAACACCATTTGGCTTGTTTTCACAGGTATAGGTGGCACTGTTGCTTGAGAATTTGCAAATTTGTTTATATTCTATCTTTCGCTCTATCAGTGTTCCGTTTTACATGATTGGAATCCCTTATCTACTGTTGACTATCAGGGATAGTTTTGTGTATGTTTACACCAACTTTTTTTTTTTTTTTTTAATGATCTTTTCTAATCACTGATCAAAATAGTGCGTTGGTACAATGCTTATGTCAGGTTTCTGTATGTCCAAATTGTGGTGGCAATGGTGAAGTCATATCTGAATTCTGTCGGAAGTGTTCTGGTGAAGGGCGTGTTCGGGTTAAGAAAAGCATCAAGGTTAAAGTTCCTCCTGGTGTTAGTGCAGGCAGTATCCTAAGAGTTGCAGGAGAGGGTGATGCTGGACCCAAAGGGTATGAGGATAAGTTTTTCACTTTTGATTAAATATTTTAGGGCAATGTATATCTTTTTCCTCTTATAAATATCTGTTCGCCTAGATGCTATGCTTCCAATTCATAGCCTTGTGAGGCACTAACTTGTCCTCATGTGTCCTTGAAATGTAATATTTGTATGAACTTCCTGCATATATTTGCATGGCCTTGAGATACCTTTATTTGATGATCAAGAACGGCCCCTTCATTTTGGTTGTTTGTGGCTTTCTTTTGAGGTTTTATTCTCAAGTTCTCATTCAAATAAGTAAGCCATCTAGCCTTTTTCTTTGCCAGGGGCCCTCCAGGAGATCTCTTTGTGTATCTTGATGTCGAAGAGATTCCCGGAATTCAAAGAGATGGCATCAATCTTTACTCAACAATATCTATTAGTTATCTGGATGCCATTATGGGATCTGTTGTCAAGGTGGACTATTACTAATTTTTTTTCATAACAAATGATTTATGCATTTTGTTTAACTTTTTTCTCTAAAGGGTTTAATCTTATTCTAGCTAGATATAAGTTTATAATTAAACTCCAGAAGTATTTGGATGGGTAGCCATTGTTCAGTGTGTAATTGTGCATTGGCCTCCTGCAAGCGTGTACAAGTGAATAGATGTTTGTGATACCTTTAGATTGAGACGCTTACTAATAATGATTTCCCTTCGAGTGTCACTGTCTATTATGAGCTTTTCTTTGTCGTGTTCGATATCATTACAACCTTTGTTTTGTAAAATTAACTACTGGTTAATCACTTTGTTCCTATAGGACTTCATTATCTGGTGTATAAGTGCAGCAATGTCATGGGATTTCGTATGAAATATTCTTTTTTTATGATCTACAGGTAAAGACTGTTGAAGGAATGGCTGAACTGCAAATTCCGCCTGGTACTCAGCCTGGCGATGTTCTTGTCCTTGCAAAGAAAGGTGTTCCGAAGCTGAATAAGCCATCTATTCGGGGCGACCACTTATTCACAATCAAAGTAACCATACCAAACCGTATCAGGTAAAAAGATAAAAGTCGTGTTGAAAGATAGAATTTTCTTGGATATGACACATGTTCTTAAATAGTTGGATACAATGGAAACGTTTGACATTGGTTCGTACTGATTTGGAAATGAATGAGATCTGCTGAGCCATTTATAGCAAGTTCGTGGTGACTTTTTAAAAAAATATATTTTTAGAAAAAAGTGCTATTACTATGCAGCTAATTTTTGAAAAGTGATTTTAGTGGACTAAAATCACTTTTTATCCTTCCAAAAGTCATCCCAAACTCACCCTTAAACTTCTAAAACCATTTCATAATTTAGTCGGGTGGAAAAACCGTTAGACCTTGATATAATTCACCACATGCGTGTTTTCCTGCTCTGAGTCTTGTTTTCTGAAATATCATTGGGGGCTATATGTACACTTACTAGGCTATGCGACGTAAATCTTATTTATCCTTGCTAATACTATTCAGCCTGCTTATTTCTCCCTTCTCATTTGTTAGCCCTTCTCATTTGTTAGTGTTTATAAACGATGCCCATTTTTGTTTTGTTTCCAGTGAAAAAGAGCGCGAATTGCTTGAAGAGCTTGCTTCGCTGAACAACACTGCTGGGAGCCGTTTCAAAACTCGCCAAAAATCCCAACCACAACCAACTAGTAAGCAATATTTACAGTTTTTTACTGCAATTTTTTGTACGACCTCATACCCAGAAATTTCATGTATATAATCGAATAGGAAGCCAGAGAAGTTTGAACCTCAAACATAAAGGTGTCCTTTGATAACTATTTTTAATTTTTAATTTTTTAATTTTAAAAACTATGTTGGGTTTTGTTCATTTTCATTAGTAAGTTTTTTTTTTTACTCCAAAATATATTTTAGTTCTTAGCCAAATTTCAAAAACAATTTTTTTTTTGTCTTCAGATTTCGCCCTTAGATTTTGAAAATGTTTATTAAAACTATATAACAAAACAAAGGAACAGATAGGCAAAAGTAATATTTCAAAACTTAATTTTTTAAAGATAAAAAAGAAAACAAAGGAACACATGAAGTATTATTTCTAAGCTTAATTTTTTAAAGACAAAAAATAAAAAAACGAGATGGTTATTAAACGGGACCAAAACCTTTGAATGTCATGGTGTGCAATTTAGCTATTGGGTGTTTGATTGCTAATTGATATTTTTCTTCCCTTCCTCTCCTTATTAGTTTACCTTTCCATAGACTATAATTACTGGCAATAAATTTTCACTTTCACACACATTATCAATATTGGAGTTCTTAGAATTGATTACATTTACAGATAAAATTACAGAAAGTGAGGTAAAATCAGCTGCCGATAGTACTGATGAGGAGGACTCAAATGATCTATGGAAGAAAGTGCAAGATTTTGCTGGGTATTCTCTCTTTTATATGCTTTGAACTACACCTTTCTTCTTGAATCTGATTATAACTAGTAAACTAGGGAACTTGTTTTACTTTTAAATTTAAACATGCTGCCCTCATGGGCTATTATCCTGCCAATTGCAATTTCTGGGAAATATTTATCTCATTTGTTCTTTTCCTTCTAAGGAAATCATTCTGGACCTCTGGTTATTTAGTCCATCTGCAAGTTCATTATATTTCGAGTAAAATGTTTGTATTCATGCTGGATCTTCATGTTTTAGTAGAAAGAAGGTCCAATATGACATGTTGCTGCAGCATGGTGTGAAGAATAAATTCGTGCTTTTCCATCATTCGTGCAAATATATTGCTAATTGCTACTGCTGATACTTAGACTGTCTTATTCATGGGTAGGCATACATGGTAGCCATTAAATTATGGACCTTTTTTTACTTGAAGCCTAATGATAGTAAATATTTACCTTTCTCAATCTTTTTCGTTTTATTTTTTTTATGTTTGGATTTAAATGGCAATGATACGAAAGAGGAAAAGGGGAGAAAAATTCAAATCCACCTGAGTTTATACTTTGTGCCTAAAATATTTATTTGTTTGCCTTGCTGAATTGGTGCCCAACTGGATGGTCATCTTTCTGGTTTTACTTGTAAGTGCCCAGGTTTGCCTTCTGAAAGAACAATTGGGCACTGTCATCTTTGCTATGTTTGAGTAAAATTGTTTAAAGACCAAAAATGTGGTTGCTTACACTTCAAACTTCATGAGTGATGTTGTATTTAAGCAAAAATAAATTGGAACTTGCAGGTCTGTAGCTAATGGAGCTCTAAAATGGCTGAAAGACAACCTTTAGCCTTATGTGTATAATTTGGCTTGGTTGAAAGCGAACGATGTTTATGAGTTCTTGTTCAACCTCTTCGGCTCTAGATTTTACTCCTACCCAATAATGGCTCAAAGACACCATCTGGCCATTTTCTTTGAGGTGTTTTCTTCAGGCTCTACCAGGGGTGACATTGTCCTCAGAGTGAATGTTCTTTAACTTTTTTGAAGTGAAGTGAAGTTTTTGTAAGTCTCTCAAGTTTATGGTAATGATTAGAATTACATTTTCAGACTCACATTCATTTGTAACCATTCAAGGTATAAGAATAACGTTCATTTTGACCTGTTAAGATTGGGAGTCTGGAGAAAATCGAGGAGAGTCCATTCTGAAGTTAAAATTGAGGTATCTAGTTCTGTCTTCTTAACGTTGACAATCAAATATCAATGATGTAAGGGTATGATTTCGACTCTTAGTTTACAAATGGAGATGATCAAGCAAACAGGACAGCAAAACTGTAAACAAGTGCTTCATTAATTTTCAATTTCAAAGTGCTTTTGGATGGTTTTTAAACACTTCATGTTAAATATTTGTATATGCTCACAATTCAGAAGCACTTTCCAAAAAAAAAAAATGGAAGCACTAGATTGTTAGCTTTGTCTCTCTTCACGACTTTGCTTGATCAAAAGCCATATGGCTAGAACAACAGGAGTTGATATCATAATAAGAGCTTGTACCAAGTTGGGTTTAGCTATATCTGGAAAGATTATGCTTCCATACTTGATTCCAGCTCCCCCTGCTATGGAACCAGCCACCAGTTTCAACAAAAATTGCACATCCTCCTGCATGGTACAGAGTCAAGTGAGACAAGGGAAGAACCCAGAAACTATGCATGATTTCAGGTACAAAATGTTACAAATTGAGTAACTACGTTATGAAGAAACCAAATGGCATTATCCTGACTCAATATGCCATGTTTTCCTCATAAATTTGATTTAACTGAACTGTTGGTTTCGTCTTGAGTACCGAGAAAAAAGTTTCCAAGGGGTTGTCAGGTCATACGCTTGAACTTGATTCGAGGCAAGTCTATGTTTAGTATGCATGTTTGCTTATTCCAAATTGCCACTTTGCTAATCTCATGGAGAACAAAATTTATACTTTAGTTTTCGTAAATTTAGACATCTCCATCTTGAATCAAGTAGACTTCGAATCAGCACTTATTTTCTCTAGAAGGTAACATGAAGTATTAGTATCCTTTTCAAGTCAAAGTTTGAATCTCTGTCCCCACGTTTGGAATGCTATTACAAAATCTATTACTCAACGTTTGGAATGCTATTACAAAATCTATTACTCAAAGTATTTGGTTATTGAAAATCTTAAATATATTATGGCATTAGCAAGTAACTTAACATGTTAACCTCTTGCCACATGGAACTAATCTGGTTCCCTCAAATTTTGGGTCATTTGGATGCAGTATTCATAGATTCCAGCCAAGAAAGATTAAAATCTAGAATTCCTATGTCAAAGATCATATACCTACCAAACCGATGGGGCTAATACAACTAAAAGTGAACTATTTTTAAAAAATGATAACAATAAATTCAATTAAAGTAAATTACTGTTCAAACTAATCGAAACCCTATCAGATAATAAGAGGTTGATTTGATTTGATATGCTTAGTTAATTATAATTCAAGCAGAAGTTAACCCCACAAAATAAGATTTGGAAAATAGTAGTTTTAGATCTTACCCCGTTATAACATAGCCAAGAACATATAAATAAGAGGGGTCCTCCATGATTATTTCGAATTAATTGAATTATGAAGATAGTCTTGAACGAACTTGTTGAAAAACTAATTGGACACGTTATCAAGTTAAGAGAGACTGAATTAGATAAACCATCACCTAAGTTGAATGCATTTCTTCATTTATGAGCCAACGTTATCAATATGAAATCCATGATTTTTCCAGGTTCGACATTTGACAAGATGAACTCGAACAACAAGTAAATAATGTAGCTGGTTAACACAATTCCAGATCTCGTTGTCCAATTCAATACTAAAATTTGGTTAACCAGAGAATTTTATCGATTTCTCCCCAATTCAGTCTAAATTCAGCTATTTAGCCCTCAAATTACCAGGTAGAATTGAAGAAAACTGAAGTTTCTTTAAATGCCAAACCAACAATTCGCAAAGGGTATGTTCTTATTTCGAGAGACAAACGACAAGTAGCGGAAACGCGAACCTGATTGATGAAATCGCCGGCGCCGGTGTCGTCGCTGCCGCTCGAATTTCCTCCTTCTCCTCTGGTTTCGGGATCGAGTGCTCGAATGGCAGAAACTTTCGGCCATGTATTGAGAGTGCAATTGGGATAGCGAACTGTTAGTCTGGTGAAGTTCGTCGCCTTCTTTTCTGGTTTGACCGGAGCCGGAATGCCGATCTTCAAGGCTCCCGTCGCCGTCGCCGCCGTCGCTGCCATCTTCTCTAATCTCTTCCTTTCTTTTAACGGCGACCGCGAAATTATCTATGCTCTGCTTCAGTCTGTTCCCGTCGGGGTGCCACGTCTTCAAACTTCTGTTTGGTTCACTCCTTTTCCATCAAATGAGATATTTTATTTTAATTTTTATAATAAAAGTTTGGATTTTATTTATTATTATTTTTGTTACATCATATTCAAACTCACAAACTTAGAGATAGATATTTTAATAGTTTTTATTTGGCCTAATTATATTTCTAAAAATTTATAATAAGTTATTAAATTTTTAATTTTATATCGAATTAATTACTAAATGATTATGCCAAAACGAGCATAGTTCAGCGGTAACTGACGTATACCTCCAACCAAGAGGTCATCACGTCTACATGTTGTACTAAAATAAATTGAGCGGTTAATTCTTTAGTTTTTAGTGGATTTTTGTCACTTTCCTGGTTAAAATTATTTAATTACATGAAATAACTTTGTATATGTTAATGTAATTTTAATTTTAATTGTTTTTAAAACATTACTAACCATAGTTTTAAAAAGTTTCTAAATACGGATGAAATTTATGTTTTCAGATTTTTAATTTAAAACTTTAAAATATGTAGTTACATTTAAAATATGAAAACTTTAATAAGTATACTATTTATTTTTATAAATTCTTTCACTTTCTTTTTAAAGTTAAAATATGTAAAATACAATATATTATAAGAATTATGATTGAAGAGAAAAATAAAAAATTAAACCATGTAAAATATAATATATCATAAATTAATACGAATTATGAAGAAAATAAAAATATTTACAATAAAGAGGTTGTCAATTATACCATCCCACAGGTTGTATTAAAAAAGAAAATAAAAATAAAAATAAATTTATTATTTTTAAATTCAATTTCAAAATATGAAATACAATTCCGTTTTGGAACCGAATTTGAAAAGATTAAAGATAAAACTTGAGAAAAACCACAAAGATTAGGAATACTATCCAAAGAGAAATAGTAAATAAATCTAAGGCACAAGGCTGCGATCCCGTGCGGGCAGGCCCATCATATAAATATGATAAAACATTTGGTTTTGTTTTTCTGCAATCGGATTTTCATTCCACCACTCCGCATCGGACCGGAAGGCGAACGTCGTTCAATTGCTGTGAAACCCCCAAATCGGAACCCTATTTTCAAAACCTCGCTTAATTGACCAACAATTCGAATTCGGGGTTCGAAGAATCAGCGAAGATGGTGTTAGCACAGCTAGGGGGGAGCATCTCTCGTGCTCTCCAGCAGATGAGCAATGCGACGGTGATCGACGAGAAGGTTCTGAACGAATGTCTCAACGAGATCACCCGCGCTCTTCTTCAATCCGATGTCCAATTCAAGCTCGTCCGCGACATGCAGACCAATATTAAGAAAATCGTCAATCTAGATGACCTTGCCGCCGGTCACAACAAGCGCAAGATCATTCAACAAGTATGTTTCGTTTACTATTTTCTCCATCTTCACGTTTCGAGCCAGGAGTTATTGTATTCTTTGTTGTTTTTATTTCTGATTATTTGGTGTTGTAGAGGTAATTTATGAATTAAAGTTGGTTATGAGAGTTGTAGCTGAATTCAGAACTACTTTCTAAATTCATGACCCCAAGGTGGGGGATCATGTACTCGAGAATTTAAGGGAAACGCAAAATCTTGCTGAGCTTAACTAATGATTTCTTTCTTTTTTTTNTTTTTGGTCGAAGTTTATTAAATGACATGTTTCGAGCTCAGTATACTTTAGGGTTGCTGTTCCGATTTTTGTTCAGTTCTCCAAATTTTCAAAGTAAAACAAAAATTCTGCTGTAGTGATACTTCCGGGGGCATCATTGTTCGACTCTTGAGTTTTGTTCTATTTTAGAGATGGTTTTAGGCTGTTTCAACTTATCCATTCACTTTGGCTGCTTGGATGATCGGCCTGTTTGGATTACTGGTGTTTATGGCCTTGCCACCCACAGGATGAGAGATGTATTTTGGAATGAGTTGGGTAGCCTTTTTGGTTTTCATGGTCATTGTTGGTGTTTAGTTGGGGATTGCAATGTTACTAGACTTTCTTTCCTTTAGGGGATCGAACCACCAAGTCTATGAGGGCTCTCGATAGGTTTATTGAAGATTAGATCATCCTCTCCTGAATGAGTCTTTCACTTGGTCTTGTCTTTGCTCAACGTTGGTGAGCTGTATACTAGACCTATTTCGTATTCTAGATGTTGGATGGACGTTTTTAAGAATGCTAAACAATCTTTAAATTAACTTCATATTATTGGCCTATATTTTTCTGTACTTGTTTTGTTAAAAGGGTCTTGTTCCCTTTTGAATGACTTGGATGAAAGGAGTGGTCTCTCAAAAAGTAAGAAAGTAGAGGGTTAATCACTGCAATGAGTATGACCTTTTGATTAAAAAGGAGGAAACAAGTTGGAGGTAAAAGAAAAACTGAAGGGGATAAAGGAAGTTGATTGCAATACTTCCTTTTTTTTTTTTACAGAGAAACTGATTTTTATTACTAACCAAGGTTCATTTGCAACTGTCATTGCGGGAAGATGATACATACCTTATCATTTTTTACAACTATTTCTAATATTAAAACCATACTGATAATTACTCTATCTGCTGGTTACTTTTACCATATTATAATTCCACCTTTTTCATTGAACATTACATTTGTTTTGGCAGACATCTTTTAAAACTCGTGCTTTGTACAGAATCCATCTAATGCAACTCTTATCTCATCTATTTTAAAATTACCTATTTTGTACTAGTTATTTGTAAGCTGGTTTTATATAGGTTTTCTTTTCTCCCTCCGTAGGCTGTATTTAACGAATTGTGCAAAATGCTGGATCCTGGAAAGCCTTCTTTTACGCCAAAGAAAGGAAAAACAAGTGTTGTCATGTTTGTTGGATTGCAAGGTATGTCAGCTGTAGGATTGTTATTTGATTTCAGTATCTGTTTTATTATCTACTTAAATGTGCGTGATTAGTAGAGGTGCGCGCAAGCTGGCCCGTACACATGGATATTAAAAAAAAAAATTATCCACTTAAATGTGGCACCATAGCATTATGAATGACATAGGGTTGGTTGGTATTATCATCATTCATCACTATTTGAGTTTGACAAGATGAAATCTAAAGTTGTTATCTGGAGTTTTCCTAACCACGATGGAGTATTTGAAAGATTTCTTGTTATATGTTCATTTGGATGAATTATATTTGTTTAATTTGTAAAATAATTTCTTTTACTCTCTTCACTTTTTCATGTATGTAATTGATTAGCCTGTACTTTTTAAATTTTCTAAAATTCAGGGTCTGGGAAAACCACAACATGTACGAAGTATGCTTTTTATCATCAGAAGAAAGGCTGGAAGCCGGCTTTGGTGTGTGCAGATACATTTAGAGCTGGTGCTTTTGATCAATTGAAGCAGAATGCGACCAAAGCAAAGATTCCCTTCTATGGAAGGTATTACACTTATATTATTGAGTTGACTTTGTATTTCATTGATCATAAAGAATAGAAACTATATATGAGGGGGTGGTTTTACCAAACTAATAATTTAGTAATTCTTCTACTGCATCCTCTTTGCTTGCATTGCTCCTTGTGTTTGGTAATATTGGATCTTCTAGGTTTCATGTTTCTATGTTGTTTGTCTTCTGGTAGAGGGTGGGTGAGGTATGGAAGAATATATAGTTCTAGTTTATGGTTCCTCAGTGTATCCTGGAATTTTAAAATGTGTATTCGTCTGTGTCTGTTTCCTCTCTCGTTTTAGTTTTTACTCTGACATTAAAGTTTTCTTTATCTCTGCAGCGTGCTTGATTTATTCATCAAGGTGTCATTCAATATTTCAATTATTTTTTTCTTCCCCCTTTTGTAGCTACATGGAGTCAGATCCTGTAAAAATTGCGGTGGAAGGTGTGGAGAGATTCAAGAAAGAAAATTGTGATCTCATAATTGTTGATACCAGTGGGCGTCACAAACAAGAAGCTGCTCTATTTGAAGAAATGCGTCAAGTTTCTGAAGCAACGGTATTTTTTTGTACTTGTTACTTCATTGCCATTTGACTATGATTTGTAAAATTTCCTGATTGCTCTTTTTGCCTTGTCCAGAAACCGGACCTTGTTATATTTGTCATGGATAGCAGTATTGGTCAAGCAGCGTTTGATCAAGCTCAAGCATTCAAACAAAGTGTTGCAGTTGGTGCTGTGATTGTAACCAAAATGGATGGTCACGCAAAGGGAGGTGGTGCTCTTAGTGCGTAAGTTTCAAAGCTCTTTTTCTTTTTGATGAGAAATCATACTGAAGGTCGGGAACTCCATGCAGATTGTTTTGCTAAAGCTTTATTTTGCTTTGTAGTTTGTGAGCCTCATGGAACATATCTGTTGAAATTCATCAGATTTATATTATTAAGTGCCTGAACACCTTATATGGCTTAGTAAAATTGAAGCGTAGGAAGATATCTGTCAAAATTTGTTTTACACTCAGTGCTTGATACACTGTTGTATATCCATTACATTAATGAAGTCTGTTCTCTTAAAAAAAAAGATACACTGTTGTATATTCTATCTTGATCAATGAAAGATATATGCATGAACGATAAACCATTGAGCTATATTTCTTTCTTTGTTTTCCATTTATGGTTGCAGTGTTGCCGCAACAAAGAGTCCAGTAATTTTCATCGGAACAGGAGAACATATGGATGAGTTTGAAGTTTTTGATGTTAAACCATTTGTCAGCCGTCTCCTAGGTTTTTTGTCTATTGAACCCGAACTTGTTTGCTACAGTTACCTCATGTTTCCTGTTCATTAAGCAACTGTGTTATTTGTTTAGGCATGGGAGACTGGTCTGGATTCATGGATAAAATTCATGAAGTCGTGCCAATGGATCAACAACCAGAGCTTTTGCAAAAGCTTTCAGAAGGAAATTTTACTTTGAGAATTATGTATGAGCAGTTTCAGAGCTTGCTTAAGATGGGTCCAATTAGTCAGGTATTATTCACACACGATATGATATGCACATTCTGAGAATAAGTAGGTTAACCTTTTAAAAATTTCTGAGGGAGTTTTGTGGGTATTGTGACTTAAAGGTTCGTCATAGTAAGAGATGTTTCTCTGGTTGTAATCCTTGCACTACTAACTACTAAGGTTAATGATATTGACTTGAAGCTTAGAAATACGGTCTGTTTCTTGCAAGATGATGCTCTATAGGGGAAGTGAGAGGCGTACTGTTATAATTGCTTAAGCAAGTTCACAATATGTTTTGCTTTGCATTTTTACTCAGCTCAGCAGAAGCGTTCTTTCAAGTTTCTGCAACTTTCATAGCAAATAGGTTTAAAATTTAGTCAAGCGAAGATATCGAGGTCCAAATTATTACAAGTGCTTGCTAGCCCAGTTGACAATATAAAAATTGAGAAAAACATGTGTTCTTTGAACTTATGTCTAATCTAAATACTTGGAATTCTCTGATTCCTTGCTCTGGCAAGTACATGGTCAAGCTTTTTATTCTCTGATTGCAGTTTTACTTCACATCGATTACTTCTTAAAACAGGCATAGCATTATTCTAAGAATTGGTTCATTTAGGTATTTTCAATGCTTCCTGGATTTGGTGGTGCTGAATTGATGCCAAAAGGGCGCGAAAAGGAAAGCCAGGCTAAACTAAAGCGCTACATGACCATGATGGACTCAATGACTGATGAAGGCATGTAAAAACTATCCTCGTCTGCTTCCCTTCTTTTCTTGCTACAGATGCTCAGTACCTATTGATTTGGTCGTTTATGATCCTGATACATGGATTTAATATTTCAACAGAATTGGATAGCTCAAACCCAAAGCTCATGAATGAGTCACGAATGATGCGAATAGCACGAGGTTCAGGTCGCCGTATTCAAGAAGTAATGGAAATGATGGAAGAGTACAAACGTCTTGCGAAGGTATGGAGCAAGATGAAAGGGCTGAAGATCCCAAAGAAGGGTGAAATGAGTGCGCTATCTCGAAACATGAATGCACAGCACATGAGTAAGGTCCTTCCTCCCCAGATTTTGAAGCAAATCGGCGGGATGGGCGGCCTACAGAGCTTGATGAAACAAATGGGTTCAAGTAAAGATATGATGGGAATGTTTGGGGGCGGAGACAAGTAGAGTGTTTTGATCAGAAGTTGGTTCGAGCTCTATGATTCCAACAGTTCGGGTCATCTTGCAGAATGTGTGGCAATGCCGAGCTTCTTCGTGGAAGAAGATGATGGCAACGGAGACTCTTTCACTGGATTGATTAAGCCATCGGACAAATATGTATACTTCATTTATTCACTCTAAACACGGTCGCAATGGTTCGAGCTAATTATTTTTACCCCTCTTTTGACTCGGGAATTCCACCCTCCTCCCCACAATCCCGCCGCTATGTACTTTGTTGAAGATGTTTGAAATGGAATAGAGATTTTACGCTTCTATGTCAACTAATAAAATAGAGATTTTGTTCATTTTCTACTGCATTTGTCAAAACTTCAATAGGTTTATTATTTGGGATCTTCATAACTCGGGAAGGAGCTTGTTTGTGATAGCTTTTTGTTACAGTAAAGCTTGAAAATCTTGTTCAATCTTTTTTTCTTCTTGTGGAGCTTGATTTCGTTTTTAGATATTAAACAATATTGAGCTTGTTTAGTAAAATTTCCTATTTTTTAAAATTTTTTGTTTCTTATTTTTCCTTTTTAATAAAGAAAAATAAAACTACTTTTTTGTAATTGATTTTTGTTTTTTGTTCCATAACTAACTTTTGTTTTTGTAAAATTAAAAATTTTGAATGAAGATTAAAATTTTTTAATCAAACATTAAAAAATTGTACGTTTTATTTATTTTTAAAATGTATTTTATAAGTTACAATCAAGTTTTTATTTATGTTTTAAATAAAATTAAATATAGGAGTTTCCAAAATTTATACGAACAAGTTTATTTTTAATTTTTGATTTTTAAATATTAAGTTTACAATATCATCTACTTATACAGTTATACTTGCATTAAGAAGTTTGGTTTTTCCTCTTAAAAAAAACTTTTGAAGTTTCAAAAAAAAAGGAAAACAAACTTTTGAAACTTTAACTAAATTTCAAATACAAAAAAATAAAATTTTAAAAAGTACTTCTTTCTTTCTAGTTTTGATTTAGCTATGAATTTGAAAATAGTTTTGAAACTATACTAAAACATAAACAAATAAATAAGCTTGAATAGTTAAAATTAGAAAATTAAAAAAAAAACAAAAACAAA